GCTTTCCAGCCCCTTCCGGTCCGGACGCTTCCTCCCCCCCCTTCCTGTCCGGACGCTTCCCCCCCCCCCCCCTTCTGGTCCGAACGCTTTCCAGCCCCTTCCGGTCGGGACGCTCCCCCCCCCCCTTCCTGTCCAGACGCTTTCACCCCCCTTCCGGATGCTTTCACCCCCCTTCCAGTCCGGACGCTTTCACCCCCTTCCTGTCCAGGCCAATTTTCAGCTTTCAGCACTATGTATGTATGTATATATATATATACACAGTCAGGTCCATAAATATTGGGACATCGACACAATTCTAACATTTTTGGCTCTATACACCACCACAATGGATTTGAAATGAAACAAAGAAGATGTGCTTTAACTGCAGACTGTCAGCTTTAATTTGAGGGTATTTACATCCAAATCAGGTGAACAGTGTTGGAATTACAACACTTTGCATATGTGCCTCCCACTTCTTCAGGGACCAAAAGTAATGGGACAGAATAATAATCATAAATCAAACTTTCACTTTTTAATACTTGGTTGCAAATCCTTTGCAGTCAATTACAGCCTGAAGTCTGGAACGCATAGACATCACCAGATGCTGGGTTTCATCCCTGGTGATGCTCTGCCAGGCCTCTACTGCAACTGTCTTCAGTTCCTGCTTGTTCTTGGGGCATTTTCCCTTCAGTTTTGTCTTCAGCAAGTAAAATGCATGCTCAATCGGATTCAGGTCAGGTGATTGACTTGGCCATTGCATAACATTCCACTTCTTTCCCTTAAAAAACTCTTTGGTTGCCTTTGCAGTATGCTTTGGGTCATTGTCCATCTGCACTGTGAAGTGGTGTCCAATGAGTTCTGAAGCATTTGGCTGAATATGAGCAGATAATATTGCCCGGAACACTTCAGAATTCATCCTGCTGCTTTTGTCAGCAGTCACATCATCAATAAATACAAGAGAACCAGTTCCATTGGCAGCCATACATGCCCATGCCATGACACTACCACCACCATGCTTCACTGATGAGGTGGTATGCTTAGGATCATGAGCAGTTCCTTTCCTTCTCCATACTCTTCTCTTCCCATCACTCTGGTACAAGTTGATCTTGGTCTCATCTGTCCATAGGATGTTGTTCCAGAACTGTGAGGCTTTTTTAGATGTCGTTTGGCAAACTCTAATCTGGCCTTCCTGTTTTTGAGGCTCACCAATGGTTTACCATCTTGTGGTGAACCCTCTGTATTCACTCTGGTGAAGTCTTCTCTTGATTGTTGACTTTGACACACATACACCTACCTCTTGGAGAGTGTTACTGATCTGGCCAACTGTTGTGAAGGGTGTTTTCTTCACCAGGGAAAGAATTCTTTGGTCATCCACCACAGTTGTTTTGCGTGGTCTTCCGGGTCTTTTGGTGTTGCTGAGCTCACCGATGCGTTCCTTCTTTTTAAGTTTTATGTTCCAAAACAGTTGTTTTGGCCACACCTAATGTTTTTGCTATCTCTCTGATGGGTTTGTTTTGTTTTTTCAGCCTAATGATGGCTTGCTTCACTGATAGTGACAGCTCTTTGAATCTCATCTTGAGAGTTGACAGCAACAGATTCCAAATGCAAATAGCACACTTGAAATGAACTCTGGACCTTTTATCTGCTCATTGTAATTGGGATAATGAGGGAATAACACACACCTGGCCATAGAACAGCTAAGAAGCCAATTGTCCCATTACTTTTGGTCCCTAAACAAGTGGGAGGCACATATGCAAACTGCTGTAATTCCTACACCGTTCACCTGATTTGGATGTAAATAACCTCAAATTAAAGCTGACAGTCTGCAGTTAAAGCACATCTTGTTCGTTTCATTTCAAATCCATTGTGGTGGTGTATAGAGCCAAAAATGTTAGAATTGTGTCGATGTCCCAATATTTATGGACCTGACTGTATATATATATATACACACACACACATATATGTGTGTGTGTATATACAGTGGGGCAAAAAAGTATTTAGTCAGCCACCAATTGTGCAAGTTCTCCCACTTAAAAAGATGAGAGAGCCCTGTAATTGGCATCATAGGTAGACCTCAACTATGAGAGGCAAAATGAGAAAAAAAATCCAGACAATCACATTGGCTGATTTGGAAAGAATTTATTTGCAAATTATGGTGGAAAATACGTATTTGGTCAATATCAAAAGTTCATCTCAATACTTTGTTATATATCCTTTGTTGGCAATGACAGAGGTCAAACGTTTCCTGTATGTCTTCACAAGGTTGGCACACACTGTTGCTGGTATGTTGCCCATTCCTCCATGCAGATCTCCTCTAGAGCAGTGATGTTTTGGGGCTGTCGCTAGGCAACACGGACTTTCAACTCCCTCCAAAGGTTTTCTATGGGGTTGAGATCTGGAGACTGGCTAGACCACTCCAGGACCTTGAAATGCTTCTTACAAAGCCACTCCTTCCTTGCCCGGGCGGTATGTTTGGCATCATTGTCATGTTGGAAGACCCAGCCATGTTTCATCCTCAATGCCCTTGCTGATGGAAGGAGGTTTGCACTCAAAATCTCACAATACATGGCCCCATTCATTCTGTCCTGTACATGGATCAGTCGTCCTGGTCCCTTTGTGGAGAGACAGCCCAAAGCATGATGTTGCCACCCCCATGCTTCACAGTAGGTATGGTGTTCTTTGTATGCAACTCAGCATTCTCTCTCCTCCAAACACGACGAGTTGTTTCTACCAAACAGTTCTATTTTGGTTTCATCTGACCATATGACATTCTCCCAATCCTCTTCTGGATCATCCAAATGCTCTCTAGCAAACTTCAGACGGACCCGGACACGTACTGGCTTAAGCAGGGGGATAGGTCTTGCACTGTAGGAATCTGAGTCTCTGGCGGCGTAGTGTGTTACTGATGGTAGCCTTTGTTACGTTGGTCCCAGCTCTCTGCAGGACATTCACTAGGTCCCCCCGTGTGGTCCTGGGATTTTTGCTCACCGTTCTTGTGATCATTTTGACCCCACGAGGTGAGATCTTGCGTGGGCCCCAGATCGAGGGAGATTATCAGTGGTCTTGTATGTCTTCCATTTTCTAATTATTGCTCCCACAGTTGATATGTTCACACCAAGCTACTTGCCTATTGCAGATTCAGTCTTCCCAGCCTGGTGCAGGTCTACAATTTTGTTTCTGGTGTCCTTCGACAGCTCTTTGGTCTTCACCATAGTGAAGTTTGGAGTGTGACTGTTTGAGGTTGTGGACAGGTGTCTTTTATACTGATAACAAGTTCAAACAGGTGCCATAGATACAGGTAATGAGTGCAGGACAGAGGAGCCTCTTAAAGAAGAAGGTACAGGTCTGTGAGAGCCAGAAATCTTGCTTGTTTGTATAGACACACACATATATGTATACATATGTATATATACACACACACACACACACACACGTGTGTGTGTGTGTGTGTATATGTTTTTGTGTGTGTATATATATATATATATATATATATATATATATATATATATATATATATATACACACACACACACACACACACATATATACATACACACTGAACACTGCCAAAATTGTAGTATTTCAAATATATGACAATATATTTGGGAAGAATATTTTTAAAACATATTTTTCTTCCATGTGGGACAGATAGCAAAAAAAAAAAAAAAACTGGCAGGGGCTTTGACCTTTCCCTACTCTATACAATTTAAGTTATTTCTATTTATACGAAGACATTGATAACAAAAAATGTAACCACTTAGATGTGTTGGCTTCATTAGTTTTAATTCTTGAGGCTAAGAATGGTGTCCTTGTTACCTCCTGTGAGATGAACAGAAAGCAAAACAATCCTAAATGTGTTATGTAAACTACTAATCCCATCAAATGAATACAGGCAGACATATTTAAACTATGCCACTATGGGTGGCAAAAATGCCCCCCTCCCCCAATCGATATGGTGGAGTAAATGTAGCCACCCAGGGACAAGAAGCGTAATATTTGTAGGATCACCAGGTGATAATAAAAGAAACAAAAGCCAGAAAAAAAAACAAAACAAATGCATCCACCGCATTTAAGGACTGGAAAGCTGGATTATATTACATTTCTGTTCTTGGGTTTAGAGTCGCTTTCATTTTCCATGTTTTACAGACAGGGGTTCTATATGTTGGTCTAATACTTAATGTTTTTTATGGAATTCCAGCAAGCAACTGTGTTAAATACAATGACAGGATTATTTGTTTATTATTATTTATTACAAGTATTTGTATAGCGATGTCAATTTATGTAGTGCTTTACATACATACATACATAGTACTATTACATCAGTCCCTGCCTTAAGGAGCGTACAATCTAAGGTCCCTAACTAACATACACATACTAGGGCCAATTTAGACAGAAGCCAATCTACCAGCATGTCTTTGGAGTGTGGGGGAAACCCACGCAGGCACAGGGAGAACATGCAAACTCCAGGCAGGTGCTGCCATGGTTGGGATTTGAACCAACAACAAAACCTAGTGCTGCTAGGCAGAAGTGCTAACCATTTAGCCACTGTGCTGCCCACAATACAATACCTAGCTAACCTAACCATAGCATGCTAGGTCATGTTGTACATACACTGATACCATTGTTGTGATGAGGGATATGAGCTGTTTTTTTGTATTTAGTGTTTATTTCTCACCTGTGTTCATATCCTGAGACGATTCCTTTTCTTCAATTTTAACCACCATCCCAATCTCTTCCATAGGCTGCTTGTCTTCACCCATAGAAGTCCTCTCTCCTTCATCTTTAATCTCAACTTTCACATCAGTCAGTTTACCCTAAATCAAAAGAATAATATACAATTCTCATATTTATATATAGATAATAGTGCAAGGAAGAACGTTCTTTAGGAATTTTGATTACATTTGAGCCCAAGACCCCCAAATTTCATCTACCTGATGATGGTGAGGGATGGTTTGATCTTCCTGTGTGGAATCCCAGGAATACAGAGGACGGGGACATCTGTCTGGTGGGTTCTCATTACTGGATCCATCTACCTGATGATGGCAAGGGATGGTGTGACCTTCCTGTGTGGAATCCCGGGAATACAGAGGACGGGGACATCTCTCTGCTGGGTTCCCATTACTGGATCCATCTACCTGATGATGGTGAGGGATGGAGTGACCTTCCATTGTGGAATCCGGGGAATACAGAGGACGAGGACATCTCTCTGGTGGGTTACCATGACTGGATCCATCTGTAGGAAACACACACATTGACTGAATCCATTGTTTCTATGTGTTTATCAGATGATGGGGGATCTAGGTGGACCCTCCGTACTGCTCTCTCCTTTACAATAAAGTCTCCTCTTACCCGGTGATGTGAGGGGCGGCTGATCCTCCATCATGATGTCCTTGTAGAGGTCCTTGTGTCCTTCTAAATACTCCCACTCCTCCATGGAGAAATAGACAGTGACATCCTGACACCTTATAGGAACCTGACACACAAAGATACAGTCACCATCCAGACACATCCCTTGTCTGTTACTGGAGAATGTCCCAGAATTCCCGGCACCGCTCACCTCTCCTGTCAGCAGATCAATGATCTTGTGGGTGACTTCTAGAATTTTCTTCTGGTTTCTTTTAGGTGTCAAGGAGAGAGTTAGAGGGACTGTGATGGTTACCTGGCCACCAGTCTTCACAGGAGGAAAACTCTATTGAAAAAGGAAAAGTTATGTAGTTTTACCCTACTGAGTCCTCCTCACCTCTTGGGTCAGGTCTTTGTTTTATTAACTAAACTCCGGTCAGCAGGTAGATGATCTCCAGGGTGAGTTGTAAAATCCTCTCAGTTCTGATATTGTCCTTGTTCATCCTCATTGATGTGACCAGATCATCTCTATAACACGTCTCTTTGTAGATCGTTAATAAACTGAGAATCTAGACTTTAGTGGTATGAATAATATCTTAGTAGTGTTCCTCCATAGTTCTGACATCATAGTCTGCTCCCTGAACGATATCAATGGGCTTGTTCATCAATGTAACTGAAAGATAAAAAAAAATTCCCTATTTATGTACAGCTGGATAAATGGTTCTATATTTAGGATGTATCCGGTTTATAAACCAGAGGCTCTGGATGGACGGTTGGATAAATGGTTCTATATTTAGGACGTATCCGGTCTATAAACCAGAGGCTCCGGATGGACGGTTGGATAAACGGTTCTATATTTAGGACGTATCCGGTCTATATACCAGAGGGGCTCTGAATGGACGGTTGGATAAATGGTTCTATATTTAGGACGTATCCGGTCTATAAACCAGAGGCTGTGGATGGACGGTTGCATAAATGGTTCTATATTTAGGATGTATCCGGTCTATAAACCAGAGGCTCTGGATGGACGGTTGGATAAACGGTTCTATATTTAGGACGTATCCGGTCTATATACCAGAGGCTCTGGATGGACGGTTGGATAAATGGTTCTATATTTAGGACGTATCCGGTCTATAAACCAGAGGCTCTGGATGGACGGTTGGATAAATGGCTCTACAGAAGATAAAAGACATCACGGTGATGATGGAGGAAGAGGACGGACATGAGGGGGGGGTTACTGGGTGTAAATATAAAATAATATCTCATTACCTCCTCTGTTGCCAGTTCCAGCAATGTCTCCTCTCTACTCCCCCTCCCAACTTACTTTTAACCCAGAACTTCCTGTCTGTAACTGACATCACTTCCTGTTTTTGCGGTCCACTCAGCGTGAATGGGATGGCCTGTGTGGAGTGTGTAAGAACTACATCCTTCTTTTTATTGCTGTTGTTTTTTATACAGTGAGAAAGCGTTAAATCTGAACTCCCAAGCACATTTTTTTGCAGTGTAAATATATGTGATACTAAACCTAAAAATGTAATATATTGCAGCTTACCAGTCATTAGATGTGATGGCTGCAATATTCTTCTTTTTAGGGTTTTTTTTTCTCTTTATTTTCACCTGGTGATCTGGCCATTAACACACTTCCTGTTGTGGTCTCCACTTCACTGAGACACCTTTGAAAAGCAGCATTGTCAGTCTAGGGGGAGGGTGGTGTGTCTAGCTGATTTAGATGGACTTGACTGACAAATACAGCCTGCCTCCAGGTAGCACTTTTTAAATAGCAACAGTTTTTTTTGTAACTTTTGGGATAAAGGTTTTACATTAATGAATAAAAACTGAAAATTGTAAGCACCCCTGCCAGTGTTAACCATTTGTTTTGGACAGCCTGGTCTGTTAAATGAACTTGAAAAATAACAGCAGCAACAGTCTGTGGGTCTCTCTCACCCCCACAAGCACCAGTAAAGCTGCTGCTCCCAAGCACTGACCAGCAACAGTCTGTGTTTCTCTATTACCCCCACAAACACCAGTAAAGCTGCTGCTCCCCAGCACTGACCAGCAACAGTCTGTGGGTCACTCTCACCCCCCACAAACACCAGTAAAGAGGCTGCTCCCCATACATACCATACTTAATAAAAATAAGACATCCCCTGAAAATAAGCCATAGTGTGTCTTCTTGAGGAAAAATAAATATAAGACAGTGTCTTATTTTCGGGGAAACACGGTAGTGTCTCTATAAAGTGTACCTGTCACCTGCCCATGCTATCGCAATAAAGTTAAGAAAAAAAAATAAAAATGGGCAGTTTCTGACCATGCTATAGCCGAAAGACGGCAACAGCATGGTCGTCTAGATCTGGGAGGGTGTCTATAGGTGTCCTCCTAGAACCTTGTCCCCCTGCATCCCCTCTGGGCATGCATCAGGCATGCTTTGTGATTACGGTGTTCTTTGGCCACAGCTGATCAAAAATCAAGGTAAAGGGCCAATCACAGCTGCCCTTTACCATGTGATCAGCTGTGTCCAATCACAGCTGATCGCATGTAAACAAATGTCGGTTATCGGCATTTTCTTTCCTCACCGCTGTCACTGTGCGAGGAAAGGAGAGCCGATAAGCAGCGATCCTGTGACAGGGCATATTTACACTGATGAGCAGGGCACTGATCATCAGTGCTGTCCATCAGTGCAGTCTATCAGTTCAATCTATCTGTGCACATCAGTGAAGAAGAAAAAATACTTATTTGCCAAATTTTATATCAGAAACTAAGAAAAACATTGTTGGTATTTCTTCATTTATTCAGCAAAAAAAAAAAAAAAACCCAGTGGTGAATAAATACCCGGCGGTGGCCATCTTGCTTATGGACAGTTAGTCCATTTTATACCTTTTACCGTGTGTAATTTTAAATCGAAATTGCAATTTCTGGATTAAATAAATACACTTTTTATACTACCTACTACACTATGAGCACTTTTTATGTCTCCCCATGTGGAGCAATTAATTTATAGAGCCCACCCGATCCACCGCAGTATCCAGAGAAGGGAGTTCCTGTCTCACAGGCTTCTACACTCATCCATCCCTTAAAGGGGACCTCTGGCTGACTGGATCCTTTACCACCCAGAAGTTTCTGAGGCACCACCATTACCCAGAGGGAGGATCATCTTTGGCCTGGCTTATATCTGATTCCTAAAGGGGACCTCCACTGATTGATTTAATGCGTATTAACATTACACATCTGGTGAGTGCGGATTCTTACCCCACTATTCTGGAGCACCAGAACTGAAGTATTGCTGTTATTTCACCTATACCTGCACAGATTAACACTTATGGCCTAATACCGTTTAGTTGGCAATTAACATATTTTATTCTATGTGGACTATTTAATATATATTTTTTAAGCGCTGCACTTTCTTATTTGGTGAATAAATACCACCACAGGAAAACTCTATTTGTGTGGAAAAAAAAATTATATAAATTTCATTTGAATACAGTGTTGCATGACCGCGTAATTGTCATTCAAAATACGAAAGGGCTGAAAGCTGAAAATTGGCCTGGGCGGGGAGGGGGTTAAAGTGCCCGGTATTGAAGTGGTTAAAAGCACCCGTGTCTCCCCCCGATCACAACCAGTGTAGGGCGAGCATGTGTATGTACACATCAACTGCACAATGCATATGAGGTATCATGAATGACGGAGTAAGAGCAATAATTCCAGGGCTATAACATGCCAATATTATTATACAATATGGACTGGGTACCCAACACTAGGATCTCACCAAATGACCCAACACTAGGATCTCGCCAAATCACCCAACACTAGGATCTCGCCAAATGATCCAACACTAGGATCTTGCCAAATGATCCAACACTAGGATCTCGCCAAATGACCCAACACTAGGATCTCGCCAAATCACCCAACAATAGGATCTCGCCAAATCACCCAACACTAGGATCTCGCCAAATGAGTCTCGAACATCTAAAACAATGCAAGGTTTATTAACTCTACATCCACCGAACACCAAAGTAGTAGTTTTGAATGAAGTAACTGTTGATTGACATTCTCCCTCAATAACGGAGAACACATATGGTAAGGTAAGTATTTTTATTTTGGTAAAAGGACCATGGGAACACACATGTATGAACAACTGATTAGTTGAAATAAACTGAGAAGCAATGACTTCCCCAGAGAACACATCTTGTAACAGGAACGTCACAGAAATACAACACGGTTTTGTCGGGCCTTCTCAAAGTTTTTTTTGTCTAACAGAATGCTGGCGAGCAAGATGGTAAGGATCGATCCTGGGAATGGAAAGTCGGCAGGGAGTCCACTGAAATTCGAGACCGCTCTTGGCTTTGTAGTGTGTAGGGTGCGGTTGGTGCCACTTTGGTCAACGGGTGGAGAAGTAGCGTAATTGGAGCTTCGCACGTTTATACGAGTTTGGCAGTGTGACGTTTAGATGACTTTTAAAGGGTCAGTTCACCCAGAATGGAAGGTGGGTTCTAGAGGGCCTACATTGGGTTCTTCTAGATAGGTTTCTTAGTATTGATTGGATTTGTGTTACTCAATACAATATAGGTTTTGGTTGCCGTTAGCCACCTGTCTAGTAAAATGATGGATGGTATGAAATCTAGTCCCGATGTTTAGTTACTGCAGTTTTGGAGCTTACAGTCTAAGCATTTCTTGTGTGGGGGCAGTCTACTATTTTGATCTCACCCCACACACAATATTGGGAGTTTGTCAGGAGAAACTGCACTTGGAATCGTGGTTTTAGCTCCTTGCAGCGATACCAAAAAGATATTCGATTCATCAAAGC